TAGCAAGAGACGTTAATAATGTTTGCGATTAACTCGTATATTGTAAACGTAAAAGCAGCCGAAAACATCAGCACAATTGGCTCCACGAGCCGAGAGACAGCTCTAGTTACAGCCGGGCCCGCATCAACGTTCGATACAGGACGACGTCTCTATTTTCTTTACGACGGACATTACTTTTATTATCCATCGTCATAAAAGCACGGGTGAGAAAAACAGCTGGGGCAGAAGAAACGTTACAACGACTTCTTGCTGTACGACGCGCGCGGACGATCGCCAATATCTAACTTGGTATACTCGTCCACCGAAGCGTCTTCTTTTTTTTTGTCTATCTGGCGATTAGCGATTATGACGTAATCGATGAAAAAGCAGGACGGAAGCGATATCAAACTTCAATTAGCTATTTCATGTATCAAACAGCGAGGCGATATTTTCTTATATAAATACACAGTACGCCTCTTTCGAGAATTGAACATTGTCGAGGATTAAAATTATGTTTGCGTTGGCAATTGGATAAAGATCGTGGTCAATTCATTTTGTACAAAAAAAACATCTAAAGATTTGAAAGATGTTTATAGATGAAAGTAGATTGTGTAACATTCTTCTATATCATGTTGTATGGACAGATAAATTGATTTCCAATCGGGTGAACTTTTGCATCCAATAATATTAGAGTCAGAGTATAAGAAGTTGCCGAAACTTGTACGATTGTGCATCGTCGGAATTTTTATATAGCCGTCGGGCGTGTGTATAGAGAGGAGCGGGGGCGGCATCGAGTCGATTGAAAGTTTGCGAGGTGAGGAAAGTCCGGTCTCTTTCGATGAACGTCTGTCGCGAGAGCTGACTCGCAATAAACGCGGCTGCGGAAAATAAACTCCGCCGATAAAGTTAAAGGGGCGCCGTCCGCCGATGCGATAAATCTCGTTAATTCGCACGATTTAAGCGAAATATGATATATATGACAGGTAATGTCAACCGGTTAATAAAGCGTTGTGCACAATGTTGAAAATGTTGGCGTTTTTAGCTGGAAACTTGTAACATGGTAAATAATCTGTACCTTAAAGCATATCGCGATATATCAATTTGCTGCCTCAACCAAAGCCTTTATTTTCTTCAAAATACAATTTGTATTTTTTTTATCCAGATTTTTTTTTACCTTTATATTATATTAATCTCAATTTAATATTAGAGATATTTATCTTACATAAAGTATAGAATTCCATTTATTTCATCCGTATTAAATATTTTTGCGCATATATCTGAAATTACATCGAAATATCTTTTTTTTTTTTAAGTCTACTACAATGCAATATCGTGATATGAAATTTCATCGTTACATATCATAAGATTATCTTGCCGACAAATTCAGGTTTAATTATCGAATTAATTCCCAAATTTTAGCGATTATTGGAACATCGGTGCGCACGCGAAACGCGTATCCCGCATCGCGGGGAAAACACAGCACAATGTCTCGGGTCTGATCATAAATTCTCGGCTACGGGCAAGGGGGTTACATACGTAATTGCGTTCGTTGCGCCCTCGATATCAGCGTCCTCGCCTGCGGTATATCCTGTCCCGCCACGGTGCGGCGTCGCGGATCTCCGCGCAAAACTCCGCGAATCAAATCGTAAACGGTGCGCATACGCGCCTCGGACGCGACAAAACATTCGTAATTGCATTCCGGAAGTGAGCAGGCTGAAAAGCCCCCTTGCCCCCTCTCACCGGCACGTAGGTATCCTCAGTATCGTTTTGCCACGGATAATTGCCGACACGCGATCCGAACCACACGCTCCGGCGTGCGTGCATGCGCCTGCATAGCCACACACGCAATTATCGCTATGTCGCACGACGTACGACGTAATAAAATCAAAAATATCACTTTCTCACCGCCCATTTCATCGTAACGACGGTTTTACAAGTTCGATATTAATTACCAAAGTTTGAGAAATGTTAAAGCGAGAAGATCAAAATGTTTGTCGAGCGGAATAAGATAATAAAAGTGTGAAAGAAATATTTAGTTTTTTAGTATCTATACACTGTGTTAACTATTAAAATTGCAACATCAAGAAATACGTAAGATGTCAAAATGATATTAAGGACATTAGATGTGAAACCGACACTTTCAGATATTTCATTATATTTAAATAATTATTGTATTTTTCATCGATTGTATACCACAAGTTATTTTTAACTTTATCAATCATCAATTGTTTCTAGTTCAATAACAACAATGCTGTACATTTTATTGATATCGTAAAGTAAAACGTAAAACATCAATTTAGGTATAGTTTCTCCAAAAATTTTTAGTTTCCTTAAAAATTTCGTTCAAAGTTTCATATTTATAAGAATTGCCTCATGGCTTTTACAGCAGGTATAACATTAGATTTAATGGAAAAAATTACATCATGTTCAGTTAAAATTAAATATGTTTCGCGGATAGATTGACCCAAAACTAGATCCAGAGGTTTAAATGTGGATAATTTTCATTATTTTATTCAATTAAAATTATAAAATATAAAGTAGGACTGAAATTAAATAAAATCTATAAAGTATTCTTAATTAAAAACTATTAAATATGTTATTGATTAATTAAGATCTTTATAAATATGAATTTTTATTCTTAAGATGATCTAAAACTAGTGCCCTTACCCTATAGCAAATTGTTTATAATATATGAGGTACATGAGATTTAGAAATACAACTCGGTATTTTTATTAGAAGTATAGTTTTATTTTTATATGCTACGATGATCTGTCCATTCTACAAATTTTGATTCAATATGACACGTTTTTTTTTTCATTGTTGTAATTTTAACAGTTGACAATTCTGTATACCTACGTATAAATCTTTCTTTGCACAATGAGGAACTTTTTCAGACGTATATCATTCTTCTTCTCATTAAGTAGAACATCTAGTTTCATCACGGGATTGTATCCTTTTTCTAGAATTTCCCCACAAAAATGATTGGGAACTCGCAGTCGCACCTCGAACAAGTCTCGGGGACAATCGCAGCTCAGCTCATTTATCTATTATTAAAAGTTTTTAACTACCGGCGTCGAGCGGCGACTGCGGACCGCCGCCGTTAAGGCGGCGAGAACGAGAAAGGCGGAAAAACGATAAGAAAAGCATAAGAAAAAAAAAGAACCTCTGCAAAGAGTAGATGAAACTCTTTCACGGGAGTTTCTGCCGAATACAGCGAACAACCGTAAGAATGAGCTCATTCAGATCAGCATTTCTTAACGAGGAAAGTTGCAGTTACTAACGGGGTTTGTGTACACCGCGACAAACAAGATCTCGAGATTACAGAAACTCGACAAACGACCGTAGGCGTGTTTTGTGTGCGAGTCGCACGAATACTGGCATTATGCGTGCGGCAATTATAAATCACGTTCAGAAATTCAAAAGAGCGCGTAAGCACGAAAGCGCGATAATATCATAAGCATCGATAACGTGTGCTTATTTTGCAATGAAAAGAAATGCACGAATACATCTGCTTGATCGACAACGCGTATGTCTTTGTAACTCCAAGAGCTCTTCGACTCGAGAGTACCGAGGCACTTGGCCGAGTACCCGTTTGAAGTCATCGAGGGAAAGTCGGAGTGGTATCACCGGAAAAAGAGGGAGAGAGAGAGAGAGAGAAAAGAAAGAGGCGGAGGATGTGTAAGCGCGAGATGAGAAGATCGGTGACGTGTTACGTCACCACTCTCGAAGCGTCAGCTCCACTGGGATTTTCCAAAGAATGATAAATAAAAATATGTGGAAAATATCTGATATGCCTGATTTTAATGACTGAGTAATCGCCCTAAATCTATGAGTACTACACTTAGAAAAAAATTTGTTAAAAAACGCAAAATTTATTTCATCTTACCAAAATATATATTTAGTCCGATCATTCAACTAAACGTTACTACGATGACACAAAATAATTCGTTACTATTATAAACAAAATACTATTTTTTAACTCAACTATTTTGTTTTAACAAAAATTTATCGTATTTAACTCAACCGTTCGATTAAAAATACACAATATTTGTAATTCCCATCAGCATCGTTTAGTCAATTTAATACTTGAAACAAATATATTACTTGGATAACTAAATAACATGCAAATAAATATTACTAGTATTTCGAACAAAATAATTTAATTGAGTTGGTTTAGTTAATTCTTGATTAAAAAATTTTGATGGTTGACATGAATGAACTTTACTATACTTTTCTTTGTGCAATTAAAGAATTGTTGAATCAACCATTGGATTAAACAACTATACAAATAAACTATACAAATTTAGTTCGTACAATCAATTTTTTTTCTCAGCGTAATAATAATCAATGAGTATATTAATAATACTTTAACGAAACGGTATCATATAATGTGGAATTTAAGCTAACGGGAATTAATCGGGACAGAACCAAGCAACGACTTGCTATTTGCACGATAAGAAGTGTCATTTAGCGAGATTCTGGAAAAATTAACGAAGTTGATTCGAATTCGGGACCCCTCGTTCTCACTTCTAGCACTTAAGACCCCACGATCCTCTACTGCTCTCGTAATTATTCCGATCGTCTATAAGTATTTTAATTGGCTCTACAGAGTTCTCTTTATTTTACAATAAATACGTAATAACATATAAAAGTATTAAATATACGCGTATAACACATAAATCCTTGTTGATTTATCATCGTAAATTGGGAGCTGCAGTACGTTACAAGTTATTTAATTGTGACACTTTGACTAAAAGCCCTGCTAAAACTAAAAGCGGCTGCGCCAAGCAATACCGGAAGGTAGTGATCGAACCAACGATAATAGGCGAATTGCAACGGCAATAGTACTCCATAACGCTTGACTAAATTTAATAAATAAGGCACTATTCGAATTACACCATCGAATTGGTCTATAACTCTCGCCGGTCGCAGAGGCTCCAAATCGCCGATACGTTAACCCCCGTACATCCCTTCCTCCCTCCCATCTTCTCCCCGCCGCCTGAACGAGAGATAATACGTACTTTTTCACGGAAGTCCGTGGATTCTCGGGGACATATCGTCGACGATCTTTTGTGATCACCTTTGAACCACCCGCGCCGCAACTATCGATGAGTCGACGAAGATGCTACCAACGTGATGTCCCGATGTCCATAAAACATTTGTATCACTCCACTTTATGCGACGGTCCTCCCGTCGAATTACAAAATCGCGTAGAAAATCACCGTTGTCGTTTCCACCGTTGCTATTGCCGGGAACGGATCGCCGCCGCCGAAGCACTCGTGCGTTATTTTGCTCTCTGGTATTTTTCAATTATGTTTACGGACGGCCGACGGGGTTTCGGACAGAATGAGTGATTAGCGCCAATAACTTCGACGCGCGGTGCAGCCGCGTGATTTCTTCGATACTTGATATAGAAAGGGCTTAATACATTTACTTTATTTCTAGAAATCCATACTTATACGCATTTCTTAAAGAAAAAAAACCCGTTTTGAGATTTACAGAGCATTTACTTGAGTTTTTTCTGTCAAATCTAGTTTATTATAAATAGGCGAAAATAAAAATTATTTACAATATAATAAGTTGAATCAGATCGCGTAAGTGAATCACACAATTAAATTTAAGAAGAGTCGTCGCGGTCGAGAATTTTGGTGCCTAATAATATTTCTATATAAATTCCAAAATGTGGACTGTTTACAATAATAATAATTAAATTATTGTTATTATAATAACAATTAAATTATTATACTTTAATTTAAAAAAATAGATCCATTTTATCTAATTGGAAATAAATTATGAGAAAGAATGTGCGCAACAGTTGATAAAACTATTGTAACAGTCATCTAAAAAATAATGTTTTAATTATCATTGTCATTATGTTTAACTAACATTTAATAACATTCTTTAATCTGACGGAAATATTTGAATTTTGTCGTATCTCCTGAATGGGAGAATATCTCTGCTTCTGCCCTTTATACCAAGCGGCAAAGATTTATCGGCGTAATCACGCGTACGGTACACGCCGGTGACAACGCGATTATTCGTGGCTTCTGATCGGCGACGTACGATCGATTCGGAAATATTATACTTCCGGGACGAGCGGTCGCCGAGCAAACGATCGTCAATGTACGTCATAAATCTATCGAACGATCCGCACGCCGCCGGATTTCGTACGAATTCACGCTTGAGCCGAACGGGTTTGCTGAATCGTTAATCAATGCCGAAGAAGAAAACGCACGTTTCTTTCATCGCACTGAGAATTACGCGCATCGAGCGTCATTATCGCGGGAAACGCAAACGATGTAAAGTATTCTCCGTCATTTTTCAACGTTGCAGAAAGAAAATACGGAATCGGCGGGACGGTAACATTACCGAAATCAAGTCGGACCAGAGCGAACGACGTTCGCTAAATCGATAAGTCGTTGAAATTACCAGCGATTGAATGGGTTATTCTGAAAGCGATACAGACGCAAAATTGAAATTGCTAAAATAACGATAAAGACCGTTCTGAGAGTCTTGAGTATAAATGTTACTTTTATATAAAATAATATTTAAATAATAATATCGTATTAAAACAATACATAAATTTACTGATAGAAACTCTTTTATAACATCGCGACAAATATATCAAACTTAAGAAAATAACGAACTTGTATTATTTTTAGGATAATTGAATGAATTTTTTTTCGAGTATTGTATGCCAAGACGCGAAAAGATATTGATGCGACAGATATCGTTATTTATTATAAATTAAAAGGGATTGACATGTAAGCAACTTTTAAGTACGTTTTCGATCGATCGCCAGAACCGCGAGAAATCTCGATCCCGCGACGAACAGCAAAATCGTCGGTATATTGTATAATGTATTTAGCACGTTGTACGAACGCGTCGATCGAGATTACAAATTCGAAATCAAACGTCCGTCAAGAGAACTTCGACTTCGTCACGTGACCGACGTAATCAACTCTCGTTGGTTTCAAGTCCTCCAATCTTCCTCGTACACGTTGTCACGACGTGTAACACGAGAACATATCCGCGCGACCGCGTTGAACCGATCCCGAACTTCTTTTTTTGCCCCTCGGAGCGACAATCGTTCCGGAGAACAAGAACGAAGGAAGAGCAAAAAAACTCGTGCTTGCAACTTGTCTCGGCTGATCTCACGCGCGCGAACTTACGACGAGATCCTTCGTCCGAGATCCTTCTCGAGGAAGGGAGGGATCGAAAATCGCGCACCTGCGGAACTGCGTGTACGGCGGAAACGGGACCCCGATCTCAATGCGCCCGCTCGACGAGGACTTTCGGAAAGTTCGCCACTGCCAGTCGTCGAGTCGGGGCCAGTTTTTTTTCCACCCGTTCGGGACGAGAGCGCGAAAGCACCCACACCAGACACACGTCGCGAGGACAAACGCCGGGGACCGACTGAACTCGCGCGACTCTGATCGGGCACGACACTCCGCGACGAAACTCAATACGTCGGCATCCCCGTCGGAAACCCCCTTTCAGCCACGTCGCGGCTACTGCTGCTGAATGCTGGCTGGTGCTGATGGTGGTGCCGGTGCTACTGCTCGACACCGCGTATATACCGCACGATGAACGCGGACACGCGCGCGCTCAGGCCTGCGCGAGCGCAATGCCGGCGACGATTCCGGCAGTAGGGGGTTGTTTGATGCCTGCCCCTTCGGAAGATACTTTTACCGGCGGCGGCAACACGTCTCGCCCGTGCGCAAGAAGGCGCGTAAGAATTGCTATTGCCGCCGACCCGTCTTACAACACGAGAATCGTCAACAATAAGGAAAAAGATAAGAATATAAGGCTTCATTTACGGGATCACTTTACGCCTGCAAGAATAACTGTAACGTCGTAATAAAACAGGTAGGCATAAAAGACACCAATAAAAAAATCGATCGATATAAAAAAAAGTTAAAAAGTTATTTCATAACTCTTGAGTTTTTTAATAACAAAATTTATATTATAACCCAGTAAACATCCAATATCTTATG